GAATTTCTCGTCGTCAGTCGTACATACAACTGCAAGTAAGAATAATAGATTGAACAAGATTTATGATGTATAGAGTGGTAACACTATTGCTGCCGTAGATTCTTTTTGCGAGTCCAAAATCTCATATTTCATGCAGGTATTCTGATTTGTGGAAGCAAATTGCGTTGTTGTTTGTAAAATGTCTTGTCGGAACTTAAAATCAACATGACCAAAAAGCATTTAATGATCATTTTTTAACCCCCAAAGATAAGTCATCTGATGAGGGTGGGGAACTTCAACATATATTAATTAAATAAACATTCATAGTATTCAAATGACTCCTTTCAAATTAAAAATAAAAATAAGTAAATGGAAAAAAAATTATATTTGGAGATGCGGGGATTCGAACCCCGTATTTCATTATTCTTTAAGATATATAACCATTGAGCTACATCTCCTTTTTGTTCAAACTATTATTTGTATATTTATATATTAATTCATATTTCATATTTTTTTTAGGAATACGGGGTTTGATTCCTCGCATCTCTAAATATAATTTTTATCCATTTATTTATTTATTTTTAATTTGAAGGGAGTCAACTTGCCTAAAAATATCATATTTATTGAACGAATTCTTCTAAACAATCCTTAATACCATGAATGTTTATTTAATATACTGATTAGTTTGACATATACTTATTACAAGGTGATATAATGAGTAAGGAGCTATAGGTAATTGAAAAAATATTATAACTTCTTTCATGATATATGTGTGTCAAATCCGTACATGACAAAATATTTTTATTTTTGAATTTTTTTCTTTTTTTTTACATGCAATTATCGGCTTATAATTCATTTGTCAGTACAAATTCAAATAATTATAACTTAATAAAGATTTAAAGTTCACCAATAAATTCAAAGCAATTTTTGTCAGTTGCAAAACGTATATTATTATTTTTGTATGAAAAAAATATATTTTTTCTACATTTATCTGCTTGGATATGTGTGTTTTTAATTTGCATTGAATTATTTTATACATAGACAAATATTGGTTTGAACAAAAAGGAGATGTAGCTCAATGGTTATATTTCATAATTCATCCTAAGAAATACTGGATTCGATTCCCCGCATCTCCAAATATAATTTTTATCCATTTATTTATTTTTAATTTGAAGGGAGTCATCTTGACTAAAAATATCATATTTTACTGAACAAATTCTTCTAAACAATCCTTAATACCATGAATGTTTATTTAATACTAGTAGATATCATGTGCACATGTACAGATGCACATAAAATATTAGTAAGTAATATTTGAGAGTTTAAAATTAAAATTCTAGATAATGAACATATTACATTTTCAAAAATTTAATCATTAGGAAAACTAAATTAACGATTTTATTATTATAAAAAATTATTTATTATCATTAGATAATAACAGTTTGATTATTATTATTATTATTATTATTATTATTATTATTATTATTATTATTATTATTAATAAAACAATTGTTTATAAACTTCTAAAGTTGTTTGACTATGTTATTAAAACAATTTACTAATTGTTTTTAAAGAAATTTTTTCATGAGATACAAAAGAAAAAGATAATATTGATGTTAATATAAATAACTTGAAACAATTGATTATAATTATG